GTACTACCTCTGACTACTACCTCAGAGTATACGTAGTACCTCAGAGTACACGTAGTACCTCAGAGTACACGTAGTACCTCAGAGTACACGTAGTACCTCAGAGTACACGTAGTACTTCAGAGTACACGTAGTACCTCAGAGTACACGTAGTACCTCAGAGTACACGTAGTACCTCAGAGTACACGTAGTACCTCAGAGTACACGTAGTACCTCAGAGTACACGTACGGCGCCTCTGGACGGGGCTTTTCTTCTTCTGTGGTCGGGTTTCGTAGAATCAGGGCAGTGGATACTCGTTACATTTAAAAACAACATTTTAACGCGACGTTTTCTTCTTCTCCTCCGTCTCGTCTTTTCTTTATTATTATTATTGCGATGAAATCTCGAAATATGATTAAAAAACTTCTGTCACTACTGTTTTGTACACGTATTTAAAAAGCAAGCACAGTAGTCCCTATGTACAGCTCTAGATCTGACGCAATATACAGTATTTATACGTAAAGTTCACAGTTTGTCTCTTTTCTCCAACACGGCGCTCCTCTCGTTAGCGCCTGTTGGTACTTTGCAGCTCAAACCGCCGGCGTTCGCTGGGGGCGCGACGCTAACTGAACGCACTGCTCTGTCTGGAGCTGTTACTCAAGTTTAAACACGACGTGACCCGAAGGAGACGCTTTAGTTTGACCTACGTTTGTTTAGTTTGAGCTGATTTGTGCTGTTGAACGAGTCCAACGCAAAACATGACAGTCACGGGCTAGCGTTAGCATTAGCGTTAGCTCGTTAGCATTAGCACGTTAGCGTTAACCAACAGTTTTTCACCGAGTCACTTTCAGGTTTTTTTTGTTGAAAATCAAACTCCTAAACTAGAGTGACCAGAATTTCAAAATCAAAAACTGCGACTTCCCCGTTTTTTAGTGGTGGGTAAAAATAAAATTGTGCGTAATTAAGAAAAATTGTTCTGCACTCGGCCCATTCCTGATGAACATGAGTCAGTAAAATCACATTTTCTTTGTGTTTTGGTCGTTTTTAAGCACATTTTTTTGTATTTTACCAAAACAAATGTCAGTTTTTGCCTCTTTACTGTTGCAGGATCAGATTGGTCAAACATAGTTCACACCTGGGACATTTTTTTGTATAAAACTGGGACAAATCGGTGGTTTTGGATAAATCTGCTGAGACAGGGAACATCACTCTCACGTTTTTTGTTGAAAATCAAACTCCAAAGGAGGACGGACGCTCACAGACTCCACAGGCAGTGCTCTTGAAATCACTTTTGTACTTTTTACTTGGATTTTCAGACGATCTTAACACATTTTTGTCTGTGTTTGTTTACGGTGACCAGAATTTCCAAATCAAAAACTGGGACACTAATAAAATAGTGAAACGAGAGCGTAATTAAGGAAAACTGTTCTGCACTCGGCCCATTCATGACGAACATGAGTCAGTACAGTCACATTTTCTTTGTGTTTTGATCGTTTTTTAAGCAGATTTTTTTGTATTTTACTTTTTGTGTCTTTACTGTTGCAGGATCAGATTGGTCAAAAATAGAGACACTTGGGACATTTCTTTGGACAAATCTGTGTTTTTTGTTTTGTTTTTTAATAAATCTGCTGGGACAGGGGGACACAGGCTCAGGACCGGGACTGTCCCGGGTAAAGCGAGACGTCTGGTCACTCTGCGTTTTCTAATGTTTGCGTCGTGTCTCCACGGTAACCGAGACACACGTCGAAAACCCCCAGCGCGCCGCCGCCGCCGCCGCAAAGCACCAACACACGTCTCTTTGTTTCGTTCCGACGGCGCCGAGGAGACCCGCCCCCTGCCGATATCCGGGGCGTCACCTCGGGCGCGCCGGCGATTCACAGTAAGAAAAAAAAACTGAGAAAATGAACAGTATTCTGGTCATCATCGTACACTTTGATATTCTGTCCGTTTGGCGACAAAGCAAAAAAAAAACTCTGTAAAAAAGATTGTCCGCCTCCTGTCGCGGAGACCCGTGCACCGGTCAGTCCTCGTGGTCCAAAGTGTGGTTCTTATTACTGTTAGAGTTCTGTTATTCACCTTATTCCGCCGCGCCCACTTCTGTCCCGAAACGCTGCTGCACGGCGCCCTCTGGTGGTGGCACTTCCGGAGAATTGAAAAAAGTTCTGCAGCTAAAATATGACGTAAAGTAGAAGACAAAAAGGGGGAAAAACAAAACAAAAAAACGAAAAATTGGAACCTCACTTCTTAATTTTCTACCTTTCCCTTTTCTTCATCTTCTTCTTATTATTATTTTCTTTCAGCTTTATCTTTTTTCCTACTCGCACGCTTATAAACAGAAGACATTTTGATCGTCTCTCATTGGGCCTCATTCATGAATCTTTTCTTAAAAAATGTTCGTAATTTCCACTTTAAGCAGAGGCAGATTCACAAAACGTTCTTAAAATCGCAGTTCCTTCTTAAGTGACAGTTGTGCCAAATTCACCAACACGTCCACGCTCTTTTACATTTAATTTACATAGAAAATGTATCTGTATTTGCTTAAAAACTCCATCTGAACTTCCAAATACGGACGTAAATATGGGTTTGCGAGGAGAGAGTGATGATACAGCGGAAAAATCCCTCTGAACGAGAAAGAATTTATCGCAATCTAATCGCAAACTGCTCCTTTTCAGCTGACAGGGATTTACGACATTCAAAAATGTCGAATTTTGTGGTGATTTTTACCTATTTTTAGCTTAAAATCTGTCTGTTATCTTAAAAAAAAAAAAAAAAAGCTTTATAACCGTTAGCTCCAGCCAGTGGCAGAGTTTGGGGGCCCTCACTATATTGCACCATTTTGTTTTGGTCTTTTTTTGTCTGTTTTTGCCCATTTTTCTTGAGACATGCACATCTCTATTTATCTGAATTATCGTGGATTGGAAACTTGTCTTATTAAATCAGTCGCCGACTAAAAAAACAGAACTGGAACTAGTTTTATTTTTTCGCTGGTACAATTACATTTTTGTTTACATCCATTACACGTGATGATTATTATTTTTCTTAAGATTATGGACACACTCAGGGAGGAAGATTTAAGACAAACTGTTTGAAATAAGTATTTATATCGCTCCTGGACCCGTGGTATGTACACCCATAAACATAAACAAAAAAAGTGATTGTATTTGTGCTCGAGGGGTTTGTGTTTGGAACAATCTGAGTGATGATTTTTTTTTAAATCTAACACTGTAAAAGCCTTAAAAAAGACAAAGTATTATGTTTTGAACGATATAGAGCTCAGGAATGAATGATTTATGCTTTACATTTTGTTTGTTTTAATTAATATTTTGTCTCTTATATTTACAGTGAGTCGTGAGTGAAATTTCAAACTCAAACTTGTGTTCAGACGCTGCTTTTCTTTTTTGGAATTCTGTCGTTATTTATCAGAGTTTTGGCGTTAGAAGAACTTTTGACTTCAGCCTGAATCCTTTCGATCATGATCCATGCAGTAGTAGTTTATGTTTTGTTTTGGTTTTTTTTGCACTGCAAAATGAACAAATAAAAACTACTACTAGTACTAAATAACAAGAGAATATGTTTATACCGTAAAATACCAAATAAACGCCGGGTTTCAGTGAATTAAAGGCAGAGTGCAGGTGTAGGATTTTGATAAATAAACACAGAATCTAACGCAGTCTAGTCCTAGTCAGTCTGGCGCCACCTAGTGCCTCCGCTCAATTTAAATTTCTCTCCAGCTCTAGATCAGAAATCAAAATGCTCTAGACGATTCACAAAAACCCCGTAAGTGCGAGTTCGGGCACCAGCCAATCAACGAAGAGACAGACGTTCTGTGTTGGCGACGATTCCCGAGATCGAGGATTTAAAGTCGGAACAAAGAGAATGTTTGGTGAATTTGATCTCGGGGAAAGACGTTATTGTTCTTCTTCCTACAGGATTTGGAGCTTTACAAACGTCACGATCAAACAGTAGCGACTGGTTCAATAAAAAAGTCCCCGCCTCCTGTCGAGCGAACGAATCCTAATCACATGTTTACACCAAGTGAAACCGACTCATGAATCAGGCGAGTCTAGTCCAGCGGTGTTTTTTTTTTTTTTTTTTGTGCTTTATTTAACCAAGACGTGATGATTCGTGCAGCGACACCACAGAGAGCCTGATGTTTACGGCGACAGGAGCAGTTTGACTTCAGGTCGGTCCTGCCCACACCAGTCTGGTCGCGTGACTCGGAGTGGATAGGCTCGATTCTCTGCCGTGATGTAAAAAAGAAAGATGGAGTGACACAGCAGGCAGGAAACGGAAGCAGTTTTCAGGCGTTTTGGTAAAATGACTTGAGTTTGTGATCGTAGCTGCTGCGGCGTGAGAGGAAAGAGGAAAGACCAGAGGACGAGACGGAAGGAATCTGCCCACAAGGAAAAGACAAAGTGTCGCCCACACCAAAACTGTAAATTATCGTCAGACTGGTTAAAAGAATTCGAGGTCCAGATTTTCCCAGTTTCGCTGAGGAAGGAATTAAACTCCCGCCCTAAATCGCCGCCTGGTCTCAAATAAAAGCCTGGTCTGTTAAGTGACTGAAACAAATAAACGCCCCGGAGATTATCTGGTGTTTTACTGAAGGACGATAACTTACAATCACAGAGGAATTAGAATGTTTTTGTTGCATTGTCAGAGTAATAATATTCTAAAACTTTCTGTATAATTTTAGTTCTTACGAGAAAAGAAAACGTTTCGTGAATGAGGCCCGTCGTCTTTAAATGTTCTCCTGTTCGCTCCTTTTCCCTCAAGTCCAAATCTCTAACGTCTTCTGTTGTTGTTTTGTCTCTAATATCACAAAATAAAATAAAAAAATCTGACATGAAGTGGGTTGGTTTGTGTGAAATGTTCCGTGGAGTCTTTAAAGCGGCGTTATCGTGTCCCGCCGCGAGGATCGGCGGCGTACGAAAGCGGCCGATTCCCCGGTGACGATGGCGACGCCGCGGCAGCTTCCGGAATAAGGTGAATTGGAGTAAGGCACTTGTTTGTGTTTTGGTTTTCAGGGCAGGTCGGAGGAGACGAGGGCGAGGCCGGGGCCCGGGCGCAGGGGGGGCCCGGCGTGCACCGCCTTGGGGCAGTCGGGGGTCAGCACGCGCCCGTTCTCGCCCACGCTGCCGGTGATGGACAGACGCGCTTTGTTCCTCATGGCTTCAGTGAAGGTGAGCTGGAAGAAACGCACAGTCAGAACAAGCAAATACACACAAGTACACACAAACGCACAGTCAGAACACGCAAATACACACGAACGCACAGTCAGAACACAAATACACACGAACGCACAGTCAGAACACACAAATACACACGAACGCACAGTCAGAACACACAAACACACACAAACGCACACAAACGCACAGTCAAAACACACAAACACACACAAACGCACAGTCAGAACACACAAATACACACAAACGCACAGTCAGAACACACAAACACACACAAACGCACAGTCAGAACACGCAAATACACACAAACACACACAAACGCACACAAACGCACAGTCAAAACACACAAACACACACAAACGCACAGTCAGAACACGCAAATACACACAAACGCACAGTCAGAACACACAAACACACACACATCAGAACACACAAATACACACAAACACACACCGCACAGTCAGAACACACACAAACGCACAGTCAGAACACACAAATACACACAAACGCACAGTCAGAACACACAAATACACACAAACGCACAGTCAGAACACACAAAACACACAAACGCACAGTCAGAACACGCAAATACACACAAACGCACAGTCAGAACACACAAATACACACAAACACACAGTCAGAACACGCAAATACACACAAACGCACAGTCAGAACACGCAAATACACACGAACGCACAGTCAGAACACACAAATACACACACACAACGCACAGTCAGAACACGCAAATACACACAAACACAGTCAGAACAGTCAGAACACACAAATACACACGAACGCACAGTCAGAACACACAAATACACACGAACGCACAGTCAGAACACACAAAAACACACAAACGCACAGTCAGAACACACAAATACACACGAACGCACAGTCAGAACACACAAACACACAGAACGCACAGTCAGAACACGCAAATACACACGAACGCACAGTCAGAACACACAAATACACACAAACGCACAGTCAGAACACACAAATACACACGAACGCACAGTCAGAACACACAAATACACACGAACGCACAGTCAGAACACACAAATACACACAAACGCACAGTCAGAACACACAAATACACACGAAAGGCACAGTCAGAACACACAGATGTCATAAGCAAAGTAACTGCTGTCCATTGAGTCCTGGTTTAGACCTGGTTTAGACCTGGTTTAGTCCTGGTTTAGTCCTGGTTACCTGGTTTAGACCTGGTTTAGTCCTGGTTAGTCCTGGTTTAGACCTGGTTTAGTCCTGGTTTAGTCCTGGTTTAGTCCTGGTTTAGTCCTGGTTTAGTCCTGGTTTAGTCCTGGTTTAGTCCTGGTTTAGTCCTGGTTTAGTCCTGGTTTAGTCCTGGTTTAGTCCTGGTTTAGTCCTGGTAGAAGTCCTGGTTTAGTCCTGGTTTAGTCCTGGTTTAGTCCTGGTTTAGTGGTTTAGTCCTGGTTTAGTCCTGGTTTAGTCTGGTTTCCAGTAAGTTTAGTCCTGGTTTAGTCCTGGTTTAGCCTGGTTTACAGCCTGACACCTGGTTTAGTTCCATAAACTGGTTTAGGTTCTGAATCTGGGTTTTTTAAACATGTCGGTTCTTTTTAAATTGTCGTGTTTTGTTCTCATCTCAAACAGTCTGAATATTTACAGGTAAAACTCTGCACTTTGCTTTATACACGACTTTGAGGAGACTTAAGTCGACAATATCCTGCATTTTCAACACTTAAAGGGACAGTTCAGGTTTTTTGACGTGAATCTGTGTGTCGTCCCCGTCAGCAGCGTCACATCCACACTGACTTCACCTCCGACAGCGTCCGGTGAGTCCAGATCCTGGACGGTTTTGGTGCTGAGGAAAGTCGTTCGGCAAGTTGTTCTGGGGACAGAATAATAAAGTGTTTTTCTTCTCAAAACAACATGTGTTAAAAAGAGTGACACATTTGCACCACAAAACCTCCGTCCGCTAAAAAGTCACACCTCATAATCACTTGGCACTATTTTCTCTCCGTACGTATCACTGCACGGATCCATCTTTTTCTTCAGTTGTTCTGCAGTGTTTACTTGTTCAGACCGGTGACGCCGCGACGCGAGAGGGTTAATGTCAGAGCTGGAGTGACAGGTGTATAAGCTGGTATAAGATACATAAGAATATATCTAAAAAATGGTGTGAACTTCCGATTTTCCGAGCTGTAACAACAAAAATCTGTCTGAATCTCCGCACAAATTTCACAGTTTTCCTGTAACGGACGTATATTCGGGTTCAAAAAGATCTCCCATCGGCTCTGTGCTAAAATCAGTTTCTTCATCATCAGTGTCGTAGTTAAACATGTTGTCGTTAACATC